ATTGCGGGTTCGAATCCCGGTTCTAGGTTTCTAGGTTTGTCATCACCATACTCGTGCTCGTGGGTTTCCCCGAAGTGGTAAACGTCTGATACCTGCATCACTTCGGGCTTTCCTTCCACATTAAGCTGACATGCCATATAACTGGAATATTGTTAAAAGCGGCGTTAAACCAAACTCACTCGCTCAATGTGCGTTTGAACCTAACAGATTAATAGGGTAATTCTTTGTCATATAACTGATTAATAACTTAAGAGCACATCACGAGGAACCAAACAGGTGCATGGGATATGCATCGCACCCCTTATTCCATATTGGATTTCGGACTATAAACCGAAAATCTACCGAAAAAGCACAAGTCTAGAAAGTCAGAGTGAACCTTAAAGGGACATAACCCGTGGCATCTTAAGCATTTCGTACAACGTGATACGACGAGAAAGCACGAGACGCCATGTGTGAGAAATACGTTATTTCTATACTGTACATTAAATACATCAAAATGAAATTAAACATTTTCCTTGCGACTGCCTGCATATGTACAGATCCACTGGTTCCAGCATAAATATGAAAATATAACATATGACACGTATAACTGTTCTGGGCCTTGGGGCGATGTGTTCGTGGGGTTCATCCCCCCACCCCCAGGCTGGAAGTGAGGAACACTGGTGTATGAGTACATGGCGACACACCCGCCACCTTTCACGAGGTTTCATTCCACTTAATGTTTAGGGAAACATTTACAAACATAATTGACACAATAGTGAGTGAGTGTGGTTTATACGCCGTTTTCAGCAATATGCCACCAATATCACGGCGGGGGACACCAGAAATTGGCTTCACTCATTGTACCTGGATGGTATTCGTCAATTCGTCCTTCAGTTTGGACGTTATGACGTCATCATCTCCGCCTTGGACAAGGATCAGACAGAACTTGATTTACCATAAGATTTAGTGACACAATTGGAGTAGAGTGAGTGAGTATTGTTTTACGCAACAGAAATGGGCTTCACACATTGTAACCATGTCGGGAATCGAACCCGGGCATTCGCAAACGCTTTAACCACTAGGCTACCCAACCGCCCCTATTGACACAATAAGGCGACATGTTATTTTTCCTGTTTCCATTTAATGATCGGTTATCAACAAAACAAGAAATAATATAAAAAGGTTTTGTTTTAGCCCCTGTCCGGTTAATTCAGAATCCGGATAAGGTAGCCGTTAAGAAATACAACACTACAATAAAACGTAACTGTGTATTTGTTCACAAAATAGCAAATCAAATGCACGGGATACTGACAAGATTTACTCAAAATTGGCATTACATATTTTTTCTAATAGAGATATTCGAAACGGAAATTTATTTTCATCTTTATTTGAATGTACTCAAGCTAATTTGTTTGTAGACAACCCGCTAACTATAACAAACAGCAACGTCGCACTCAGGAGCAGGTCTAAAAGTGAGGACTTCTTATTTAAAACCCGATGTACCTTACATGTATCTCAAATCGAACATCTATATTTGTTTCTGTTTTATTTGACTGATATTATTAAATAAATATTGTTTTACGACGATATCAGAAATATTCTAGTAATATCATTACGGGCTACAATTCGCTTCAAACAGTGTTGGGAATCGAACCAGGGTCTTCGACGTGGCGAGGGAACACCTTAACCGCTAAAGGGACTCTAAATATAGTATGACTTGTTGGTGGAATGACCCCTTTATAATTTTTCGCTTGAATAAAGAGCATTCTATACGAACGATATTACGTTGGAAAAGTAAGCAGAGTTGCACCCCCTGCTGACGACCGGATTTTATTTCTCTGTGAAGCTTTTTTCAATGTCTGCTGATCAAGGGCCGGTTCCACAAAGCGATGTTAGCGTTAAGACTATTGTAATTCCTATACTTTAAGGTTTGACTCAAAGGTTTTTAGATTTCTGTACCGCATACACCAGTGTTGGGCACTATCAGCCTGCGACAATTCCACCGGAGAGGCCAAGGCGGACAGATGGACGAATAAGGCATGACAACATACGCAACACGCCACGAAGGACATCCTCGGCTCACAGGGGCATAATTAGTACTAATTGTGACGAAGCGGTTTACATCTTTTCCGAATATATATATCCATAAGAACAGATAAGCACTTCGTCATTTATTGTAACTATTTGTGTTTTGTCTATATTGGATGGCTGAAAAATTACAGCAAATGTATCAGATGAGCTGCGCTGGTTTTAATTACATTACCCTTGTGTGCAGAGGATGACAATATTAAACTGTACAAATGTCTATCTGATGTAAAAAATCAAATATCGAAAAACTGTACCTTACAAGACTACACCCAAATAGAGAATTATGATAAAAACATTAAATTTCATGTAAAGACAATTCATATAAAATTATCGCAAATGAACACGGAAGGAAGCATTTAAAGTGAAACCCCTTTATTCCGGACCCCTTTTAAAACTGGAACCTCATTATACCGGAAATCTCGCTATACCGGTCGATTACTGCTGGGAACGCTTACATGTACATCAAGTGACATTACTCCGTAACCATGACTCTTTAATACATACATTTGTTAATAGGGACGATTTCAGTTGGAACGAGTGTCCGAATTAACGGGGTTTCACTGTACATAGATTGGCATTTCAATATATATCTGTCAGTCTTCATAGGCGAAATATACACGGGTGTCTGGGGCTCGTAGCGCACAACCATTTTAGCAAAAAAATGTCTTCAAGACGAATACAAACACGTCAATGTCATGAACTCTTCAAATATATCATGTAGTTACTGATTCCAAGACCGCCTCCGTGGTCAAGTGGATAGAGCTCGAAAAGCGAAAGGTCCGGGGTTCGATCCCCGGCCGAGACAAAACAAGAGAGGTAAGAAAATGGTACTTGTTGTTACCCTGCCTGACATTCGGCATTAAAGGGATAAAACAAGGAACGGTCGGCTCGGAGACAGTATACTGTGTCTGATTGGGGTATTCATGTTAAACTGCGGCATGGCATCTCAGTTGGCTAGCACTATAAATCGGCATCAGTCCGGACTAGTACAAGCAGCCACATACACACGCGTATGCACGTCGCTATATAAGTGAAATAATCTTGGACATGACGTTAAACCCAAATTTCACGTTAAAAGATGGTACTTGTTGTTACCCTGACTGGTCGGCTCGGAGTCAGTATACTGTGTCTGATTGGGGTATTCATGTTAAACTGAGGGATGGCAACTCAGTGGGATAGCAATATACCACTAGCATTATACCGACCGAGCACAAGCAGCCACCCACACACGTGAATGCACGTCGCTGTACTAGTGCTATAATCTTGAACGCGGATCTAAACCCCATTTAGGGGGCACGGGTGGCCCAGTCGTCTAAGGCACCGCGATTCGCTGTGCAGAGTTGCGTCCCTTAGGCACGCCAGAAACCTATGATTGTGGGTTCGAATCCCGGTTCGCCCCGATTATGTTTCTAGGTTTGTCAGCACCATACCCGTGCTCGTGGGTTTCACCGAAGTGGTAAACGTCTGAGACCTGCATCACTTCGGGCTTTCCTCCCACATTAAGCTGAGACGCCGTGATATGACTGGAATACTGTTAAAAAGCGGCGTTAAACCCAACTCACTCACTCACTCTAAACCCCATTTAACCTCACCCATTTTTTCCAGGAGCATCACGTGCTGACTAACACATTAAGTTGATTTATGAACTAAATAAAGATGTTTGATGACTCAGAAAGAACATATGTACAGCAAAACCCCGTTTAACCGAACACTATCGTTCCCATTCAAATCGTTCAGATGATCACAATTCCGGATAAACGAATCGTTGGTACGGGGAAGTCCCTTACACAGTACATGTTCTCAGCTGTTATCGCCTGGCACGTGCGAAGTCTGGGTAAACGAGGTTCCTTATATATGATTCAAGAGTTAATTAGGTGTTCAGCTGGGTACTGTTCTCAACGTGAGAATCTCCTCTCCCTCGACCATAAACTGCGCAAGGAAAAACTTGCGTTGATATTCTTTTTCCCAAAATTAATTTGGGAAAGATGGATTCCGATAGTGGTACGTTCTTATGTGTTTTAAAGGCCTCTATAAGGCTGTACGTTGTTTTTCTTAGTTCACGGATCTGCCGAACTTAAAAATGGAATTTCTGAAAAAAAGTATAACCAGAAACCAGTTTTTTTTTGTAACACCGACTGTCAAGATCGATTTGCCAATAAATAAATGACAAAAAATGCCACTGTCATATTTTACATTTATAATTTAGGACCTAAACCAGGTCATTATTTAATTATTTTACCACCTACCGACCCAAATCGAACTTTAAATCGATTACAAGAAACCTGTACGCTTATTTGTTTTACCTATCGACCAAATATTTCACTAACAAAACTTTCAAATCCGTAAACAAAGAAAATATACCAGGTCCGGCCGAACCAGATTCTTTTGTCATTTGCTTTCTGGCTTTTCTGCACTGATGTTATGCTTTCATAGTTAGACAATGTTTTGGAGACAACAATAACTTGTTCGTTTGTTTGTTGTTTAACGCGGCACTCAGCAAGATTCCAGCTATATGACGGCGGTCTGTAAATAATCGAGTCTGGATCAGACAATCCTGTGATTGACATGAGCATTGAATTCGCAATTGGGATATGATGACATGCATCAATATCTTATACCACTCTTACATGCACATGTAGCAAGGGTATTACTCCAGTCTGGATGTCTATGAACCCCTGCTCAAAATTTAAATATACAATAACTGTATTACTTTTGCAATAGGGACATTCTAAGAGGCATAAAAGAGGATTTATCATCCAAAACTGGCTCCCACAGGAGATATCGCTTGGGTGAGATCAAGCGATATCTACACTGCAATGAAATTGCATCACAATGCTTTGAAGTGCATTGTGACGTCACTGGTTACCATGACGTCACAATCAAATGACATCACTAATGGCTCTGCTACTGAAGCTGTTAGCAGTATCTTTTACACTTAAGACACTGCTTATTACTGTCTAATAACTGTAAAAGTGGAAGAATGATGTTGGATGATACGTAAAATCTCACCCTCATGTTTTTTTATATGAAATACATCAAAACTCGTTGATAGAAGTGGAACAAAATCCTCGGCAAGCCTCAGAGTTTTCCCACTTTTATCAACTCGTGTTGATATATTTGATATCAAAAGACACTCGGGTGAGATTCTCTATTTGTGTCTTATTGGTAGACATCAAGCGCTGATTCCAAGCGCTGCTTAATCTTAAAGCGAAGCTTACCTTCATGTACAATATTAGCGTCACTAGGTTTCTCTACAATGAAGATAGAACTAGTCGTTTTGCAGAGAGGGATTCCATTGTGACTTAATTAGGACTTCTGCCTTTGGGTGTCGCTCGATATCTTTCGCTAAGTAGGGGTTTCATTAAAAACTAATATATACATCACATTCTCTACAGTTAACAAAATAAAAAGATCTTGACAATATCTGGTTGGTTGGTATGTTGTTTAACGCCGCACTAAGCAATATTCCAGCTATATGACGGCGGTCTGTAAATAATCGAGTCTCAGACAATCCAGTGATAAATATCATCAGCATCGATCCACACAATTGTGATCGATGGCATGCATCAACGAAGTCAGCAAGCCTGACCACCCGATCCCGTTAGTCTGCCATCTGTAAATGAAAATGCTGATGGCAACTACATCGTTGACGGCCAGATGGCGTTTAGGAACAGCTTCACACAACTTGGCAAATCATCCCCGTTGCATGATGTCTCACTTTTTACTGATCTATTAACTTGTGTGACGTCATTTAGTTGTTATATGACGTCATTTAGTTGTTATATGACGTCATTTAGTTGTTATATGACGTCATTTACTTATATCGTGTGTCGTCATTTACATGTTTGGTGATTGATTTGCTTGTTGCGTGATGCCATGTATTTGTTGCCTGGTGGATTTTCTGAAAAAACATGAATAATTAGCTCGTCTCGTGACTGCGTCATAATGGCGTCAAATGTCATTTTCTCAAAAAACCGAAAAAACCCCGGTAAAGAATCTACATAGAAACATCACTTACAAATAAAAAAGGTTGACATCTATTTCCATCCATCTTAGACTGCAACTTCTACAAATCCGCTCAAAGAAGCGTATACCGTGATTGCTACAAGACGGATGCCCAGTCTCTCTAAACACGGACTGGAAACAGACTCGCGCAAACCCATGCCGCGGACACTGGCGCATCATGTAAATCTATATTGATTTCTTGAACGTATGCTATCTCCATCACTGATGGGTTCACTGAAGCATTTGGTTTTAAAACCCGTGTCCTTGGCACGCTGAGGAAGAAAAACAAATCAAGAACGCTGGATTAGCGCAAACAGTCAGCCATGATGCAATTATCCCCACTGAAATAAAAGAGATCCAAACCACAATGCGAAGCTCGCAAGATGCTTCTTGGAGCTTGAGCTAGATCTCAAAACAGTAGCAGGCTTTGGGGGCAATTACGTTTCAACATTCGTATATATGTTTCTCGTGAAACCGGTATCAAGGTATTCAATGGGTATTTGGTAAGGATATATTTGCCTTGGACTCTGCACGTTGAAGAATGTATGCTGTGTGACGCGACCGATCAGTTTGTTTATCTTGTGGCATCACATCGACCAAAATGTTCTTCTAATAGGCAACATAGCAGAGTCGGTGTTATGAATGATTCAGTTAGGAAGATCAACTGAGATATAAAACGTGTAAATATAGTTTTTAGATACGTTAATCGTCATTTTCAATATGTGAATATTGGAGAAGATTTACTTTAATTCATCCCCGTTCCGTTGTTTCTTAACGTCACGTTTTAACTTTTTTTGTTGAAAACCGACATTATCACCAAACACCCGGCCGGACTTTATCAAAAACACCCGATCTCGTCCGAAAGATTAAATTCCGCTGAGCAGGCAGAAATCAGGCGGGAGAAAATTAGAGGCAGATAGGTGGAGAGCTGAAGGCGTGATCTCGTCAGGAAACAGCAAGACGAGAGAACACGAGACACAGGAGGCCTATGGAATAAAGATGGCGGCTGCTGGTTGAAGATGTGAACTTGTTGGTTGTCATGAGCATGGTGATTTTCTCGTCCGAAGTGAAGGGAGTTTTATCATGTTGAAGCATTACTCCACCTGGAAAAATAAAGTTACTTAAAATGGCAATGCCCCAAACAGGTGACGTTTAGAGTGTCTACCCATGTTTGAAAGTACGAAAAGTTTGACACACACGCACGCACGCACGCACGCACACGCACGCACGCAAGCACGCACGCAAGCACGCACGCACGCATACACACCCCACTCTTACCCCTCCAACCGGAAGGTTAGTGGTCCGATTCCCTGTCCGCGTCATACTTATAGACGTTGCTTGCTGTCACAATGCCTCGGTCTCGGCATTAGAGGGACAATACAAGGACTGGTCGGTATAACGTGTCTGAGTAGGGTATCATGTTAAACTGCGGCAAAGTATTTCAGTGGGCTAGCACTGTAAAAAACGGCATTAGTCCGGACACACATACCTCTCTGCCACCCTCCCACCTGAATGCACGTTGGTTGATAAGTGAAATAGTTTTGAACGAGACGTTAAACCCGGTTTCACACTGACACCATCAATGGTAATTTAACATACTGGCAACTTAACACACATCCCGCGTGCTACCAACATACAGAACATAAGAATTGCCATGTTTTACTTGAGCCCAAGTTTTGTTTGTGGTTTAACGCCGCACGCAGCAATATTCATGCTATTTGACGGCGGTCTGTAAATAATCGAGTCTGGACCAGACAATCCAGTGATTGATATCATGTGCATCGATCCACGCAATTGGGATACGATGACATGTATCAACCAAGTCAGCGAGCCTGACCACCCGATCCCGTTAGTCGCCTCTTATCACAAGTATAGTCGCCTTTAACGGCAAGCATGGGTTGCTGAAGACCTATTCTACCCCGGATGGTCACGGGTCATTGAGCCCAAGTGCATTTCCCTCACTACAATCTTTTTTTTTAACTATACCTTTAAAGAAAAATAGAACACAGGAATACATATTAGAAACAGAAAGAATAATATAAATGAATTTAAAACAAACAAATACAAAAACATAAATGAATGAACAAATTGCTCTCAAGTGATCTCAGTTGTTTACAAACTGCTCCACAAGAAGAACAACGGTAAGAACTTACTACTTCCGACCGAGCCACGCGCATAAAGCTGAAACCAGTCGTTTGAAAAATCCAGGTTGTTCCTCTTGTTGACCTTCAAGAGCCGTGTGACCCGGCAGTAAATATAACCGTCCTTGTACTGCCAGTGTTTCAAGGTCAAGGCGCTGGGCTTTGGCTCCGGGGCAGCGTGTGCGACAATGTTCGTGAGCGAGGCCACCTGGATGGTATTCGTTAATTCGTCCTTCAGTTTGCACGCTATGACGTCATCATCTCCGCCCTGAACAAGGATGATACAGAAATTGATTTATCATAAGATTTAGTGACACAATTAGAGTAGAGTGAGTATTGTTTTACGCCGCCTTAAGCAATATTCCAGCAATACCCACGGTGGTGACAACAGAAATGGGCTTCATACATTCTACCCATATGGGGAATCGAACCCAGGTCTTCGGCGTCACGAGAGAACACTTCAACCACTAGGCTACCCAACCTCCCCTTGACAATGCGAGGTTTTAAAACTCAGCTTATAAGGATAAACTTAAGACGCAAAATCAATTTCAGTAAATCCATCTGAATGGTATTTGTTACCACCCTCCCTGTAATCATAAATAGAACACGCGAACGACATTCATTCTGAAGTTTAATAATGTATATAAGGAAATTGACTGGACGAGTTCATTATCCCATTGGTGAACATTTTCTGCCTCCTTACTTTTGAGTCGGCGGGATGAAATAGTTATTATGGAAGTGAACCCCTTGAACTTTAAAACCTGTGAATTTGACTAAATTGAAATTGGGAAAAAAAAATGTACCGCACGCTTTCAAATGATGAATAAAACGCCTGGCCTATTTGATTTTTCTCTGATTTGAGTGAATGAGTAGGATTTTACTCCGCTTTTGGCAACATTTCAGCATATCACGTCTGGAACACCAGAAAAGGGCTTCACACATTGTACCCATATGGGGAATCGAACCAGGGTCTTCGGCGTGACGAGCGAACGCTTTAACCACTTGGCTAACCTACCGCCTCCTCTGATTTGGGGGTGGGCTTTCTGCAAGTAGGCCCTGGATCTTTACGGGGAGAGTCAACCCGGATTCTAACACGGATCTCCATTTTAAACCGGATCTTCACGCCTGGATACGTCAGCTGGTCGTTGATGGACATTTCAAGATGTACCTCACGTGTGTATCTTAAGTCCCTGTTTCTTAAAATAAGATGGGCCGCGGATGGCCGAGTGGCAATTCGATGTGCAGAGTTGCACGCCAGAAACCAATGATTCTGGGTTCGAATCCCGATTCTCCCCGATTGTGTTTCTAGCTTTGTCAGCACAATACCGCCTCGTAGGTTTCACCACAGCTGTAAACGTCTCAGACCTGCATCACTTCAGGCTTTCGACTGACAGGAAGCTGACACGCCGTGGTATAACTGGAATACTGTTAAAAGCGGCTTTTAACCCAATCTCATTAAAATCAGATCTTAGTTCTTGCTACAGCTAAACAAAGATCTGAGGACATCCCATTACGGGTCACGTTAGACCGACCTTGCGCGAACTTTTACCGACCAATGGAATGACCAATCTGAAGGCAGCTTTCTCGTGCTTTACGGCACTAATTTCAAATTGGCGACTACGCTTCGAAATATATTTTGACAAATTTTCGATTACAAATTTGAAACTTAAACAAAAGAACATCCTGGAATGGTTAATAGATGGTCTAGATTGTATGGATTCAGTCGTTAAACCCGTAACTAATCGAAAATTTTCGAGGTTGCATGATTAGAAATCACATTCCGACTGTCACTTTCATAATCTTTCATAAGCGATGCTCTGATTTGGTCGGATGAAAGGTCGTTCTGACGTGACCCCTAATGGGATGTCTTCAGATCTTTGTTTAGCGGTAGCGAGAACTGAGGTCTGATATTAATGAGATTGCTTTAAACCCAACTCACTCACTCAAATTAAAGTTTCTGTGTAGTGAGAGTGAGTGAGTGAGTGAGTGAGTGAGTGAGTGAGTGAAAACTGTCGGGCCCTGACCATGCAGTACTCTTGAAAATTCTTTTCTTGAACAATATTTAAAAACAAAACCCACTCAAAACCAGGCCTCGCTTGAATCTTTGAATCGAACCAGGAACATCGAACTACACAATATTGCAGTACTGTAGTATTGTCCATTATATGTTACCTCCGGGTGTCAGGATACTATGACCACGGGTTGGAAACCCAGATCGCTCTTAGTTTGTCAGCCCCGTACTTGTTTTACCTGAGTAGTAACATTAAATACCTGCATCACCTCCCGTGTAACCTCCCACAGTAAGCTGACACGCCTTGATATATCTGAAATACTGTTCAAAGCGGCGATAAACCCAACTCACCCACACGTCACATTCAACCCTTCTTACCATTTTTGCGTCCGATGAGAACCCGACGGCCACCCAGCCCTTGCTCTTCCCGCTCAATTCCAGGTCCACCCGATCCGAGTTCATCACGTGATATGACAGGAAGTAATCGCAGGTCATGTGATCACAACCAGAAGAACCATATCTGAATTGCAACATTGGTTTTTAATAAGAATCCGATCTTAAAGGAAATTGCAATTCGTGAACAAAACGTGTGGCTTGTGATAGGTGATGGGTTCTGAAATACTCCCGAAATTATATTTTTCAAAACTAAGGATAAAAAATTTAGATCTTCGAATTCGACAGCAGGGGTGGTGATAAAAAGGCATGGCTAGTATACATGTTGCTTCAAATATATCTTGTTAAGCACCACATGCAATATAGTACAGACCAAGCGTACCAGTGTTTGAAAGCATGAGATCCTCAAGCATGAGATACGAGGAGCTATGGGATGCTTAAAGCTGTTCTGTCCCGCAATCAACAGATGGAGACATACATGGGGTACTAGGGATCTATTCTGCCCCGGAATCAACACAGAGAAAAAATTCTAATTATGGGCTAATTTACGCCGATTCTGCCCCGGTGCCCCGGTGCATGGGGTGCTGGAGACAATCATGGGGTGCTGGAGACAATCATAGGATGCTGGAGACAATCATGGGGTGCTGGAGACAATCATAGGATGCTGGAGACAATCATGGGGTGCTGGAGACAATCATGGGGTGCTGGAGACAATCGCGGGGTGCTGGAGACTATCATGGGGTGCTGGAGACAATCATGGGGTGCTGGAGACTATCATTGGGTGCTGGAGACTATCACGGGGTGCTGGAGACAATCATGGGATGCTGGAGACAATCACGGGGTGCTGTAGACAATCATAGGATGCTGGAGACAATCATGGGTCGCTGGAGACAATCACGGGGTGCTGGAGACAATTATGGGGTGCTGGAGACATAATCATTCCCGGAAAGACTTACACAAATCAATATGGCCGACCAATGGCGTCCGTCAACAAATTATAATACTCTCGGTGTTTACAGTTTACCGTTTACAGCAAGTATCTGCAGTCGCTGACAACGTACCTGACACACGTCCGGTTCTTCCCACACTGGCTGAGCGGGAAAGGAGAAACGGAAGTATCTGAAAACAATATGTTTTGGAATGGAAACATCGATTTTCGTATTCGTTCTAAAATGGAAACGAATTTTCATCTACATGTATATGCAACAACTGACACTGTTGTCCGGGGGGCACGGATGGCCCAGTCATCAAGGACGAAGCAGTTCGCCCCGATTATGTTTCTAGGTCTGTCAGCACCATACCGGTGCTCGTGGGTTTCACCGAAGTGGTAAACGTCTGAGACCTGCATCACTTCGGGCTTTCCTCCCACATTAAGCTGACACGCCATGATACAACTGGAATACTGTTAAAAACGGCGTTAAACCCAACTCACTCACTCACTCACTCACTTTCATGAAGTGATGCAGGTCCCAGACGTTTACCACTTCGGTGAAACCCACGAGCACAGGTATGGTGCTGACAAACCTAGAAACATAATCGGGGCGAACCGGGATTCGAACCCACACTCATAGGTTTCTGGCTTGCTCAAGGGACGCAACTCTGCACAGCGCCTTAGACGACTTTGCCACCCGTGCCACCTCACATATGAGAAGGGTCGACTGTTTATGACTACAGGATCAAATAGGATAGGGATTCGCAACTTATCAAACCAAAGGGCTGGCAGCTTAGGGGTATCAAAAAGAAGGATCGTGTATCAAATGTGAGAAGGATCAACAGCTTATCAAATAGGATAGGGATTGGCAACTTATCAAATAGAAGGGGTGATAGTTTAGGGTATCAAACGGTTGGATTGGCAGCTAAGGGGTATCAAATAGATGGATTGGCAGCTAAGGAGTATCAAATAGATGGATTGGCAGTTTAGGAGTATCAAATAGATGGATTGGCAGCTAAGGGGTATCAAATAGATGGATGAGCAGCTAAGGAGTATCAAATAGATGGATTGGCAGTTTAGGAGTATCAAATAGATGGATTGGCAGCTAAGGGGTATCAAATAGATGGATGAGCAGCTAAGGGGTATCAAATAGATGGATTGGCATTTTAGGAGTATCAAACAGAGGGAATGGCAAGGTATGGATGGATGGAGTTTAAGAGTATCAAATAGCAGAATGAACGACAAGTGAGGAATATCGAATGGGTCATCTATACAGTCTACACATTTATTCATTTATTTATTATTTGTTCTACGTGTAGTCTACACTCATGAAGGCAGTCGGGGTACTGTTGACCTATATGTAAATCACCATACAATAAACTACGTTTATAACGAACTGACGGATATAATGAACTTTTTGGGTCCCGACCATTTGTTGTATATATGCTGTATGTATGCTTATAACGAACTACGGTTATTACGAACTAAGATTAGTGGTCCCCTCGAGTTCGTTTTAACCGTAGTCTACCGTATTAAGTTCCACGTATAACATTTAACATGTACCATCATCTCCTACTTATATACATATTGAACATCATAATTTGCCTACGAATACTTTTATTTACACCATCGTGCGATTGGTGAGAACAAGAATGCTAAATTTAAATCGATATTTTCTCTCAATTAATTTTGGAAATTATCAAAATATCACATGTGTCCAAATTTAAGTTACCCCCAAAGAAATTCGAAAGAAAAAAGACAATTAAACATTACGCGAGCTGATATCCTTTAGACATAACCTGGTACACATATAAAATATATTATATATTATATGCTAATAATGGTTGTATGGAAACAGACGTACCGTCAGACGCTGGTTCGGGTTTTGGTTGCGCATCTCGTCGTGCCCGGTGATGCCTGTGCTTGGTCTGTGGGGCTATTAAGTAAAGACAGAATTAGATTGACCAAGTCATCCTGTATCCAGTACTGTTCGACCCGTGTGATTATCACTGCATTATACAGACAAAACTGTGAAACCTGTGTCACGGAAACATGTTAGGGGTCACTATCACTAGGCTTGAGGGGTACGTAGGAAGATTAAAGTAGTGTGCGTGTGTGTGAGACAAGGGTAAGAATGACAAAGGTAAGAGAGAGAGAGAGAGAGAGAGAGAGAGAGAGAGAGAGAGAGAGAGAGAGAGAGAGAGAGAGAGAGAGAGAGGGAGAGAGATTAATAGGCCATGAGTAAGACTTGGTTTGCTTGATCACTGGGGGCTTGTTAATTCTTACTGCCTCATGAATAAAGATGCACCCTATGTTATAGTCAGTGGCCATGTGACATATCTCATATCAATGCAGTCAATTGGATGCAAGAGGAAGAATCTTAAGAACAGGATGGAACTCTTGTGAGAGGTCTTTCCTTAAATGTTACCCATTGGTAACGCAAATTTACTGTAAATAAGTAATAGTTTCAAACATAACATAATGAGATCGTTACCGTTCAAGATAATGTAAGATCCAATGTTTTTTTACCAAAGCCAATATTTCATATATAAGTCGTGTGCTTTAATGTGAACTGCTCGAGTTGTAAGCAGAGAGATTGTATATATACTCTTCAAAAAAAGAAACTTGACACTGACTTTCAAAATGTAATATAATGCGATTGTTTCAAAATAGGACACAGAAACCATAATTGAAACACTGTTTGAAGATCAATGTACACAATGTTCAAAACATCAATCGTGTCACCTAGACAGACACACGTACACGATACAGTTAATGTCACAGGGGTACAGAAAATGTCAGTATCGGTTGTGCCCACCACGTGCATCAATCACCGCTTGACACCGACGACCCATAGATGCAATCAAGTTATCAATAACACGCTGTTGGATGTGCTGCCATTCATGCTGAAGTGCATCAAGAAGCGCCGGAAGTATTCTGGGCGGTGGATTCCTTTTGCGAACGCGTCGATCCAACTCGTCCCACAGATGCTCAATCGGCGACATATCTGGTGACCGGGCTGGCCAAGGTAATGTCTGGATGTTGTTGTGCTGTAAGAAGTCCTAACAAACACGTGCAATATGCGGTCGAGCGTTGTCCTGCTGGAACTGTCCGCCATGAACGTTGACGTGAGGAAGAACGTAAGGCTGTAGGATCAAGTCTCTGTAACGCACACCTGTCAATGCACCTGCCACATGCACGAGGGGCGTCCTACCACCGTGATGAATTCCGGCCCATACCATGACACTCCCGCCGCCAAATGGGACAACCTGCTGCACACAGTTTGGGGCGTAAGGTTCACCCCGACGTCTGTAGACACGTGCGCGCCCATCAGCCCATCTAACCCTCTGTTGGCACCAAAGCAGACGGTCCGCCAGATGACGTGGGGTCAATACACGACGTCGAACAGGTCTTCGTGCAAAAAGTCCAGCCTCCCTCAGTCTGTTGCGTACCGTTTGATCTTATATACTGCGTACCCCAGGGATCTGTGTGGTTGTAGACGTGGCTGTGGTAGTGCGGTCTCGGAGGTGTCGCACCCGGATGTACCGATCTTGTGCTTGGGTTGTCACCCTTGGTCTTCCTGACCTTGGTCTGTCGTCAACTCTGCATGCCTAAATGCAGGGTCCTGTGCTGCACGTTTTTTACAGGCGGTTTCGTTTGGATGAAGCTGTAAAATTGATCCCCAAACGCTACGTTTATGTGCTTTGCATTTGTTTTCGCGAATTATAGACACATCATCTTTCTGTTTGACTTATTTGGTTCTCATTTAATGTAATAATTTTAGATATTTGGCAAAAAGTGGTTTTACATCTATGTCAAGTTTCTTTTTTTGAAGAGTATATAATATTTGGGTAATTGTAGTGTTTGTTATAATGTTTAACATTCCATGAATCGCCTCCATGACTTTCCATTTTGTTAAAATGAACGCATGCTGCTGATGAGAGAAAGGGAGGTAACTCCACCAGGTACTTCCTGTAATTACACGGACATGGACATAAACCTGACACAGCATGTTCTGTCTGACAGCATGCCAGACATCAGATCAGCCGGAAGTACTTCCACTAATTGACTGGCCCCGATGCAGAGTGTGCAGCACAGCCATACTACCACGCCGGCATTCAATCGACATGATTCCACAACCCCAACACCGCAAAGGTTAAATACGTTCTTTTTCAGCATTCAAAAAGGGTGGAAAGAGATTACAGAAACGAGTGGAAACTCGTATCTCCGTGATTGTACCAAGTCAGCAGGTTCTATACATTGGCAGTCTCATTAATTATACAAAGCATTCATATCCTTGTCATCTATACCGGCAAGAGCAAATGACGTGTCTGTCTGGTACCTACTAGACCTTGTGCCAAGTCACTCATGCATGTATAATTAATTATACAAATCATTCATATCCTTGTCATCTATATCTGCAAGGGCAAATGACGTGTCTGTCTGGTACCTTCTAGACCTTGTGCCAAGTCACTCATGCATGTATAATTAATTATACAAATGATTCATATCCTTGTCATCTATATCTGCAAGGGCAAATACTATGTCTGTCTGGTACCTACTAGACCTTGTGTCAAGTCACTCATGCATGTTTAATTAATCATACAAATCATTAATATCCTTGTCACCTATATCTGCAAGGGCAAATGACGTGTCTGTCTGGTACCTACTAGACCTTGTGCCAAGTCACTCATGCATGTATAATTAATTATACAAATCATTCATATCCTTGTCACCTATATCTGCAAGGGCAAATGACGTGTCTGTCTGGAGTCTTACTCACGCATGTAACTAATTAAACAAATGATTCATACATTGCTCATATGCGACAATTTCGTCATCAAAACTGTGTCTCACTGAACCAGCGAGGACCAATAACGTTTGTGTGAAGACCACGAGTTGTCTGTTGTCTACGGCCTGTGTGCTGAACAGATGATCAGGTGACATTTCAATATAAACCACGTACTATCTGTGGGCGACATCGCTCGCCTGAGATGCCTGGCTAAGCGTGGACGGGAAACTATTAATGGAGCGCCCGGGGTCTACCACACCAGACCGTCAACACTGTTCACACACAGCCATATCGAAATAAATCAACATGTTTCAAATTAGCAATGACTCTTCGTAACTGCAGGCAATTTAAACGGAGATTATGCCCACTACATGCAATTCGTTCTGAGTGATGATTTTCCTCAGATCCTCCTGTCAAAGTCAAAGTCAAAGTCAAAAGGATGTAATTGTGCGTTAGGTTTTGGCCATGAAACATTTGCTTCGGATTTCCTTTTAATTAACGAGAAGCGATAATAAACGTATGGTATATAGGATATTTGGCAAAGTTTATATTCAGCACCAAGACGAAATCCTGTCAAATCGTTGGGAAATTTCCTGTTAGTTATATTTGTGAGTGAGTGAGTGGTCTGAAAGCACTATACCCTAGCAGCGGTGACCGTATCACCTCATCATGTTATCATTTAATATAGATATTTCCATACGCCACCACTGTTAGACAGTCTCTCCGTTAGACATGTCTGCTAAAGTGCACTATAAAATCGAACAAGCAGCCACACACACACGCGCACGCACGCACGCACGCACGCACGTGTGTTTAACCCATTTCACCTCACCTCATACATATATGTAAGTGTGGTTGGCATTGTAGATGTCTGGCCAGTCAACAAAAGTGTGTACATAGTTTTTTTCCCCGGGGTACCAAGAAAATACCAGTATCACGTCTGTAAAATATTTGTAAGTCTATATACACCTCGTCATAAATATCGCACCACCCACTTTTTTTTCACTAAGTAAAACTGGATCTTCAACCTCATAAAAATGGTGCTTAGAAAAGCACATTAAACTGTTTATATGGCCTCATGTGAGCGTTCAGTCAGAAAATTGACAACACAAGACCGAATTTGAGCACTTATTGAGGGTTTAATTGTAGCAAACTGAAGTTCAATAAAATCACCGTGAAATAAGGTGAAATAAGTATGGCTGCCGGAGTCGTTACAACAGACACAGTTCATATTTCATTAATGTCGAACACACTAGTAAGGTCCACAATGACTGGCTAACTGAGTATCTGGTGTAACCGCCTCGCACTTGGATAACATGTTCTACACGCCGTCTCATGCTGGTCACCAGACGTCTGAATCTCTGTTGGTGGATCTGCTGCCACTCATCATGCAATGCATGGGACAATTCCTGAAGGTTCTGAACTGGAAGATCCCTTGCTCTCACCCTACGTCCCAAAATGTCCCACAAATGCTCAATAGGATAAATGTCTGGACTTCTTGCAGGCCAGGGTAGTGTCTCAATGGCGTTGTGTTGGAAATTCTGAACAACAGCTCGAGCACGATGTGGTCTGGCATTATCGTCCATGAAGACTGGACGTGTGGCGAGAGCATGGTTATCGAAATGAGGCACAACAGCACCGTCCAGGATCAAGTTCTGGTACCTCTGTCCATTCATTGTTCCGGGAACTGTGATGAGGTCCAGTTTACAATCATAGGAACAACACCCCCACACCATGACGGATCCACCCCCAAATGGAACATCAGCTTGAATGTTCCTCTCATCATATGCTGTGCCTCTCTGCCTCCAAACTCGTGCCCTCCCGTCTGTATGATGCAGCAAAAATCTGCTTTCATCGGACCAGTGGATCCTTCTCTATGTCCTCAGGTTCCAGCGAGCACGTGCTTGGCACCAGGCTAAATGGGCATGGCGGTGCTGATTTGTGAGGAGTGGACGTCTGATTGGTCGTCTTACTCTCAATCCTGCAGAGTTTAGGCGTCGCCTGATGGTGCTGATGGACACTCTGTTGTATGGATGCCATCCATGTCGCAGCTGTGTACAAGTTTCTTTGGGCTTCGTCTGGCTTGGCGTACGAGAGCACGATCTTCCCTGTCATTGGTTTTTCTGGGACGTCCAGACCTCGGTGCATCCATCACTTCACCGGAAGCAGTATGATTACGTATTAGCCTGCTGATGACAGTGTGATTAATGTTCAGTTGTGCTCCAATGGCACGACATGACATACCAGTCTGGTGCATACCAATAATTTGCCATCTTTGGTTCAGAGGCACTGGACGCTTGGGCATTTCACTGGTTGGTCAAAAAAAGCTTAATTTATACCTAAAACCAACATACCATACGCCAAAAGAGGCTATGTGCATACTGCATTTTTAGCATACCGACCCCCGGTACAAGCATGCTCAACGCAAGCATGCACGTGCAGCTCGGAACAGGGTGTGTTTGTGATATTATGTTCACAGATGATGTAGTATATGAAATATTTACTTGTAGTTTAAAAAAACGAAAATTATATTTTCTACTTTTACTTTAAAATGTGTGGTGCGATATTTATGACGGTGTATATTCAAGTCGAAGCGCTGTCAGTATATCTAGGGGCGAATGTGTAAGGTTGTGCGTCGCTTTTAGCAACATTCAAGCAATGTCAGGGCTGTGGACACAAGAAATGAATTTCACACATTGTACCCATGTAGGATAAAGAACCCGGGCCTTCCATGTGCTTTAACCACTAGGCTAACCTCCCCTGCTTCCTATAGACTTACCAAGATGGTACTTGTGGGTCGTATACAGCGTACTAGCTCCGTCTCGCTCCGCTATCAAAACACTGCAAATAAATAAACAAAAACAAATATACGGAAGCCTTTTAGGGTCATTTGTTTTTCTTCTTGAAATTTAAAGTTAATATATTTTAATTTCAACTGTTTATCTTGAAATTTCAACATAGCATCTTAAAATTTCAAGATCATTATCTGGAAATTTCAACGCAGTATCTTTTAATAAAGCATAGCATCTTAAAATTTCAACTTAGTATGTATGAAAAAACGAAAAAAGAAATGGCCCTAAATGGCTTCCGTACAAATAACCTGTAATCATGTTATTAATTCAACAGGTGAGCTGTAAATAAGAGCGACAAAATCCACTCCATCATAAGAAATCTCTGCTAAAAGCAGAGTCCATTGTATGATTCCGACTATATCATGAGCGTGTGTTCACGAATCACTATCAAATAGTGATGATACCAGGTGCTCGAGGAAAGGTTATATCAACTAGAATATGACAATATTTCTTTCTTAATCCAGACAAACCATTGACGTCACGTTATGGAACACCATTCTCGCAACCCAATACCAGCTGCAATTTGCCCATGGCTCTAATTTAATCAAACCGATAGGTATTCAAATGACAGAAAAGAACAATGGACTCCCAAACCTGTACATGGTCGACATAACACCAGCTCATGGCTGTGGTAACAGGCTGTGTCATCTGAAATGTCATGCAGGTTAAAATGCTTCAAAACAATTTCTTATTCTTCTCGACCGATTAAGAATATGATATTCTTTAATGATGACATTTAAAGCCGTTTTTTCATTTTGGAAAACAGTTTAACGATTGATACCGTGTGACATTAATATCAGGATCATGTCACTTGTGACGTCATCTACTATTTTAGGAAATTTCAGATATACCTAGTATACCTTATGACCCTAACTGCCGGGAACAACTACGTTTGATGATAAAAAGAATTTTTCGGCACAAATTTATAACATTTCAAACATGGTTGTGGTTGCAAACTCTTCTTACCTCAGTCTACATTGAACCAATTTATTTCACACACAAATACCCAGCCAAAGATGGCTTTTCACAAACTGTTGCAGGAATGAATGATGGTAAAATAAACAAAATCAAATTTTACAACAGTTCTTTCAGTTTTCAATTACATAAAAAACAAACCCTGTATACGTACTTTATCTATGAATGCTTACGAATGCTTATAATTGAGAAAAAGGCTCTCCAAAAACTTTAATCATCCGTGATGATGTGGACGTCAAATCAGCTGTCTCAAGTAGGGACAGTTAAAATAATTTGAAACTTCTTATTAACCAATTAGAATTGTGTATTTTCTACATTGATGGTAGTGTAAGGTGTAGGCAGCTTTTGACACTGCGAAAACATAACAGAAGAAAAGATTTCACAAATTATACCCATTTCGCGAAGCGAATGTAATTTTGGTGTCACGAGCGAATGCATTTACCACTAGGCTACAAAGTACAAATACATAAAATGCATAAAACAAAAATACAATTAAATTAAACAGATCACGAGATTATCAACTTACAGGCAGTGAGTCTACTCACGGTGCAGATGTGTTTACAGATAAAGTGCTTGAGAAGATCAAAACATGACTAAACATTGTTATGAATATGTACATTTAAATATTTTAAACATTCTTTGTTCTCGTTTTATTTGCCTGGTACCGGAAGCACCAAACCCCGAGTCAATGAACCGTGCCTGAACCCTTACTGGTCCCGGGAACGCCAAGAAGAGTTTTCCTCCTAAATATCAAATTTGGCGCTCCCGGGACGACACCGGCTAGCTTCGCCCTTTATGCATGTAGAATGAATAGCACTCAAATATATGCGTAAATAAACCCTAGACCAAACCATTTCCATAATCATAAGAAATCACTTCTTAAAGGAGATTACGTTGCATTATAAACATGTATTTTGAATCATTATCAATTAGTGAGATATAAGGTGTTCGCGAAAAGGTGTGAACGATGAACGATAACTTTCACTTGCAAATACCCTACAATTATTTTACTGGAAGATTATACAGATGATCAGTTCTAAAGGCCTGATCCAATATCAGCCTGTAGACAAGTTTCAAATAAATGTTATCTATTTTATCGATCATAAGACTTTCAATGTTAAGTGCAGTGCTCGCCTGGGCTTGTAACGCAATTATCCGTATAAAGCCATGTCCCTCTCCTCTCAAGACATCTTTCCCAGATTTAGTGAGGATTATATTTAGAGAATCAAGCCGCGTGAGATTCGTCTCCATTTATTTTCCATCTAATCTCCTCTTATATAACCGTACATAATTGATCCACCTATATTTAACCTCAGGCGCCAAACATGTGGCAACGAAATTCTACCCGCATATTGATTGGTTATTTACGAGCCAATGAAGCAAGCTCAGACGAATAAAGGACCGGAGCGAAGGTCAAACTGTGGAGTGATTGGCTATTAATAGGGGATTTGTCGAGTGGTTGAATCTTTCCGTTCAAAGCAGTGGATTGTTTGTTGGGATGGAAAACAGGAAATACCCCTGGGAAATTTGATAGGTAGACAGACGAGACAGCAGTGAGCTCTGTTGAAACACATTAATTGTGAAAAGATTTCGGGTTGGAGATTCTGTTCGCGTTAGGCTGATTTGTCGTGCCATAAGGCGTGTATAAATGTTTGGGTGTACATTCTCAATGAGCTTTCAAATAATTCAACTATCCGAAACGTGAATACTTTGTTTTAGGAATAGGACCTTGGCTGTTCTCAGCAGTGACCGAATACTCCCCCTGGAAAAACAACAACTTCCCAGCCTCCCTCCAGAGAATCTACAATGGTCGGACACAGTTACTCTGCCTAAATAAAGTTAGTTTACTGCTGTTGTGGAGTACATAGGCTCTATGAATTTAAAGGCATGCCTTTTAGAAACCGCCCATTCTTTTCATGTTTGGGATAAAAAGATGAAAGCAATATCGCTTTCATGTTCAAATACATGTGAAAATGCATATCATTATCTCATGGAATGTACATTGTTTAGCATGTCATCGGGCTCCGAAGGCGTGGTTCATTGTTTTTATTATCAATCACTGGTTTGTCTGTTCGAAACTTTATTATTTTCAGGCCGGCGTCATGTAGCTGGCGTTTACTGTGGGCGATGTTAAAAAGCAAACAAACAAACAAACAAACAAACAAACAAAATTTAAAAATTCTAAACAAGCTGATGGTCCATTCCATAACACATCAAATTTCAAGCACAGATAAATCTTATCATCTCAGTGAATCCCCAATGGATTGCATTCAATAAGTGGCATTCAACACGGCATCAATGCAATAATGACGCAAAATCCTCGATTTACCTGCACACTGTATAAAACGCCAAACAGATGGTAACTCAGTATTGTTAGATCGGAGTCTTTGGTGCTATGGTAAAAAATGACACGAAATCAACCAAAACTTTCTTTTTGCACAATTCTCCAGGAATCCGAGAAAGTAGCCACTTGGGTTCCAAGTATACAAATAAATATATTGCCGAGCTAAAACGCGACCTATTTTACTCCCGAGGGAAACCTCTTAATGGAAAAGCTAACTGAAATCAAGAACTATCGCGTTTGACGAAAGAAGAGCAGATGCCGCAGGCCGTGTCCAAATGGCTACTTCTAAAGGTAAAAGACGCTCCAATGTGCTTAATTTATTTTTTAAATCTCGTTTCATGTCCCAGAGTGTCCCTGAATACAACATGATGATTATGAAAAAAACAACACAATTTTGCTTTTATGTTTGAGTCTCACCTGTCCTGCAGGCAATACGATTTTGTATCAAAACGTTAATGTTGAGAATACTCTTAATTGTCGGAACAACGACCTTCACTTTCAGGTTGTTGCTGTCTGTGCCCTCATTTCTGCCGAATATTAATCATTAGGCTTGGCGATGTGAAGATATATTGAATTTCTGTCTCTAAAACTCACTTTGACATACGCATATTGCGTAGTTGCTATTATAACAGAGAGGAATTTTGAGTAATGAGTGTTCATCAATGGATCAATGTAGATTCATATTTGAATCCTCATTTCCCTGGGGAGTGTACATTTTCTTCACGGCCAAGGGATGCAGTTCTTGACGCATTAGACCTCTGGGTCTGCAGCCAAATGAACGTTGTAAAGCATCATGGTCGTGTATACTCATGTAAAATATGACAAATGCCACCTGAAGCTGACGAACTCCAGCCTTTTATAAAGCCTGAGATCATGGCATTACATTTTTCGACAACTGGTCTACAAGAATAATTATAATTAGCCAAATCCACGCCATATTGCATGCTCAAAGCGCTACATTATCACCACGGTCAGTGGATCAGGATGCACTTGATTTTCATTCTTAGCTCCTTGAGGAGTACACAGCCTAAGTTGCCTGTGAGGTACTAGAAGGTCACATTACTATCTCATTCTACCGGGTACCCATTTACTGCTGGCTGACTGGAGGTATATTTCAAACAAACATGTTCTATATGTGCTTCAGTGTGGGGCAGGAAGGAAGCCCTAGAAACTCTCAGGAGTCGAGCTGACAAACACGGTCATCCATCCAACGTTGCTTAACTTCAAGTGATTTGTGACCAGTGCGCTGTGTTACAAGAAGATGTCTGTCGCTCTCGAGCAGGATGAATACGTTTTCTATTTCTGATGCAATTATCATTGTGTGACTTCGAGGCTTTGAAACATGAAAAGTAATGTGGCCACTGACAAAGCAATTTCCTGTGTTACATTGTGGTTTCAACAGTTACGACAGTTCGCGCAACAACGTTGTCAGGTTGTCAAGAACCGCGTCTGCTGCATCTTCATGCAACTTTGATATCACTAGACGACCACAACGACAGTGAAGGATTTGATCAAACACCTTGTCCCTCTTAACGGAACGTGTCATCTTGTGCACTTACATGTAAGGGCACGTGACACTGAAGCCAATAGTCTTTTTTTGTGAGTGGGATACTGTGTCATGGACAAGTGAGTGAATACATTGTGTACAGTACATACACTGCTTGTAAAAA